CATCTCGCGCGCCTGGCCCGGTCTGCCTGCCAACATCGACGCCGCCTTCACCTACAAGAATGGCAAGACTTACTTCTTCAAGGGCTCTAAGTACTGGCGTTATAACGGACAGAACATCGACGGAGACTACCCGAAGGAAATTAGTGAAGGTACCGTTAACTATATTTATTGTGTCTTTGTTCTAATTACTGAAGACTGCTTATTTAAATTATTACAAATTAAGTATTTGATGGGTTTGAAGGAAAAGTAAAGTAGAAAACTTTATTTCTTTCATCGATCTCAATGCGATTCAAAAGTTTTTATGTTTGTTTGAATTTCAGGTTTCACTGGTATACCAGATAACATCGACGCAGCATTAGTATGGTCAGGCAATGGCAAGATTTACTTCTACAAGGGCGCGAAATTCTGGCGGTTCGACCCGGCGCAGCGCCCGCCTGTGAAATCAACCTATCCCAAGCCTCTGTCTAATTGGGAAGGCATCCCGGACAGTATAGATGCAGCCTTACAGTACACGAATGGTTACACGTACTTCTTTAAGGGCGGTTCGTACTGGCGGTTCAACGATAGGACTTTCAGTGTAAGTTTATTCTTTATTTATTCCATACAAGCGATTAGACGAATAGATTTGGTTCTTTTCTTTCTGTTTTATATTCATTCTTCTAGATTAATTTAAATTTAAATTGGATCTATCTTTGGGAGCCAGGATCTGTTTGGAGCCCAGTGTGAATGATGATGAAAATTAATCTCATATTTGTATTTATTACATTTCAATATTGATATTAAGTTTTCAATTATGTGTTTCAGGTGGACACAGACAAGCCGGCGTTCCCTCGCTCCACCGGCTACTGGTGGCTGGGGTGCAGCAGCGCGCCGCGCGGGACAGTCGGAGGTAACGCGCGTCTCTCCGACACCAACCGGGCGGCCGCGTACACACAACTACCGGACGAGGATGACGTCGGCGACATACTGTTTGACGCAGGTACATTCATCGACGCCCAGATAGGAAAAGAAAAACCTTAAAGTAAAGCTCTTGATTAAATGAACATCACTAGAAAATACTTTAAATCTTTCAAAATCAATGAAATACCAGAAGAATATGATTGTTCCTTTTTAAAATCAGTATTTTTGTATTAAATCTTAAATATTTCAAGAGCGATTCGTGTTACAGTTACAGAGAAGGGCTGACCGTCGGCGGACCACTGTTAAATGTTGCTTCTATGCCCTTCTTTATGTGAATGTCCTTCACTAGTTTTGTTCTTGTCTCCATTTTGTTTGTGATACTGTCGTAGTTTAGAAACTAATTATTTTTATCCTTTACTTATTTAACTTGTTTATTGTTTCTTGATTGTTATATCTTATTTTTATGTTGTTTATGTGTTCACTTTTCATTCTTTTCAGCTACATGTTTATTTTCATTTCATTATTTATATTCATCATTATAAAAATCATTTTTAATCATTTAACTCACAATTGACAACTAACTGATATAATATTTTAACATTTTAATCCCATCACGAAGATTATTTTCAAATTTCTAACAATATTAATATATTATTATTAACCAATCACGATTAAAATTAACAAACGCCATACTGGCTTGGGTTAGCTTTGCTTTTTGGGGCCAGTGGTTGTCGGTGAGTCCTGTTATGACATCAATGAGGCTTCTGGGCGCCAGTGAATATACCTGCGTTTTGCACTTAAATATTATGCACTGCATAAACATTTTGATTTAGAAAAAAAAGGACAATGGATAATGTGCAGAATGTTTGAGCTTTACACACAACACACAAAATTTAATTATAAATATTGATTGCACATAAAGTAAGACACAAAGTGCACTGGGTTACGATTGTCTTAATAATTGTGACCTTAGATTGGACAATTTGATGAATATTAGCACTCTTTGTCGTTACAGTATAAGTAAATTTGTTAAAACTATATAAAATTTATTGTTGCACTGTTGTTAATGTTGTTTTATGTTGTACACTGTTCAACGTATGTTGCACATATATGTACGTTCACTTGTATGTCAATGTGTGTTCACACGGTACGCGGCGCGCCGGTGCACGCACTCGGTAACCACGCGTCATGTGTGTTTGTGTGTTCTGTCTTTCTAGGTGTAAAATCATCCGCTCCCAGATCATTCTTCTGGTTCAGGGAATAACCTCGGTGGAGTTCCTGAACGTTGTAAATAGAAATAATTATAAAGAACAAAGACTCAATTAATTATATAGGAGAATACATGAGTACCAGTGAGATTATAGAAATAAGCGGTGATTTTAATACCGGCGAGCTTCTCACGCGCCACCTGTACGTTGGTTTCATATCACTTTTGCATGTTTGAATAGCTTATGATGGGTTTTCATCGCTGAAACAACTGTACAACATATAGTTGTCCCTTACAATCTCATTGAATAAACTGAGTCAACGATATGCTTTTGTACGGATGTTGCGGTAGTGGAAACGAGCTTAGTCTCACGCACGCTTTCTGGCTGGGTTAACACTAATCATTTTATTTAGTTATTGGTTTTAGTGGTAGTCGTATAATGTAATTTTGTAAACACTTTATGAATAAAAAAAAATCATATTATTGCAATTCCATTAGTTATCTGTGTTTATTGCACGTGTGCCAAAGCAATTATTTGAAGTAACGTTGCACTTGTTGATTTTTGAACGCGACATTTCTGCCAATACTTTATGAATTAAAAGTAACACAGAAATGTTTAAAACAAATATTTGCACAATTTCTCGTAAGTTAATAATTCATTTTTAGTTTAAATTCTTTTTAGAAAAGTTGCGAAAGTTACGTGTTATCGTGTTGAAACTTTGAAGGATGTTTATTCTGTCTCATACACGTAAGATAATTTTTTAATAATAGACTAGTAATGGCACACGACACGTTTTATTTCTAACAGTTTGAATTGAATAAAAATAACTTTAGTATTAACATGGTAGAGAATTAAGTTCTGTGTTAAATAACTTGTTTTATTTTAATAAATCAATATTTGATAAAGGCCCTGTCCCACTACTGGCTAATAAAGGCTCAGATAGCCAAAATATGACGTCACTGTCAAATAAGGGAACAAAATCCGATATTTCCATCACATAATTTACACGTTCGTTGTTATCAGACAATTTACAATTTGGCGGTACAGGCCCTAAGTGTTTATAATTTGTGACTAATATAATTAGCAAAGCATGGTTTTGTTGTGCAGGAGTGTTAATGTAATTAATAAAGTTTATTTACGTTGTGTGTATTTTAGGAGTTAATTAGCGGAAAATATTATGGTAGAAAGTAGAATGAGAATGAGGTTATGTTATGTATTAGTTATCTTTTTAAAAAACTTGCATGCGTTTTGAAAAGTAGTCGTAGTTTTAGTTAGTGTTGTAGTTAGAACGGATGGGTAACGATTTACTGAATTCATAATTGATTTATTAAAGGCGAGTTAATTTTCCAGTTGGCCACATACAGTCAGACGGAGCTAAACTGTAGTTACTCGTTACCTCGAGCCTCCGTTACCTAAGGAGGGCTAAGGTCCTCCGCCGCGGCGTCACGCACCCGCATCGTAGGTTCACATTACATTTCTTTTGCTACCATCTTCGTATAACTATGATATCTAACATAAAAGATTTTGGTTTGTTTTTTTAACATACGCTTTTTACTATCATTTTCATTATTATCGTGGGTTTTCACCACATGGATGTTTTATTAGTTTCGTGTGTACTTAGATATTTTACGAGTAAGCATATCTATAGAAATTTCTTTAGAATACTGCATGTGATATAATTATTGATATTAATAAGAAGTAGATGAGCTTCCTCGTACTGCTTTAATGATTTTCTCTCATGTATACCGCTGTGTTCCATTATATTTGGAAATTTTCTTCTGAAATAAACTATATATTTTAACATGTTCTTATACCGTATAGAGTCTGTAGCACAGCGGTTTATGTGACTATAGCATAAAATTGAATGCGTCCATCAAAGACCAATTCTCAAACGAATCTATTAAACTAAACTGATCTGATTTTTTGAGGCGATATAATATAGAATTTGTACGCATTCATTTTTCTGCAAGTTTAGACATTTTG